ATATTTAAAGTTATCAGTGTCAAATTCTAAATGTGGCAAATACTGATGGATAGAACCTACATAATAAAAGCTCTTTAGGAGACTGCAATAATTTTTAAGATTGTAATGGGGTTCTGAGCCTCATTTGAAAACCACTGCTTAGCTATGAGGCCCTTCGAAATCTCACCTGACTTATCTTTTCAACATTATTTCCTGACCTTTCTTTTCCCGTCATGTCTTCTCCTTAAACCACCATCCCACACCCAGAAATGCCCGATGACTTTCAGGCCCCCCAGATAGGCTACACCCCTGTATTTCCGTCATTTTTTGAATGCCCTCTCTAGTACCCTTATGTGTCAAGTCTCTAGGGCTGCAGTCCCCAGCCCCCAGGCCGCAGCCTGTTAGGAACCAGGCCGTGCATCACTGTCTGAGCTCGGCACCCCCAGCCCTGCAACCCTCCCCGCCCCCCACCCCGCTATCATCCATGAAAAAATTGTCTGGCATGAAACTGAAGAACCAGGTCGCACAGCAGGAAGCTACGTCTGTATTTTCAGTCACTCCCCATCACTTGCATCACAGCCTGAGCTCCGCCTCCCCCCATGCCCCTGCCCCTGCTCCGTGGAAAAACTGTCTCCCATGAAACCAGTCCCTGGTGCCAAAAAGTTTGGGGACTGCTGCTCTACAGGTTCTCTTAAACTCGTATTTAGTAAAATTTTCCCTCTTTACCCTAGAATGTGAGTTACACCCTCCTGGGGCCCCAGGGGATTTGTGCACGGCTGCTGATGCTGAGAAATCATTTTGTATTAGATTGTTTCCACATCTGTCTTCCCTCTCTGCTGTAGGCTCCTCGGGGCAAGGAAGAGTCGTCTTCATTCTCAATGCACTGAACTCCAGCAGCTAGAGCAGCTCCAAGCACACTGCTGATGCTCAACAAATTCAAAAAAACGAAGGGAGAAAGGAGAAAAGGAGGAGAGGAAATTTCCTCTCATTCTCCTGCTCTGACCTAATGACTCCGGGTCAGAAGGAGGACACACGGTGGGTGGTATGGAGGAGGGGCACCCCCAAAAGAGGGCTGTGCAAGATTAGACAGCAGGCATACACTTGAGCTATTAGGGTAGCTGCCCAACACGCACACAAGCCGCCTTCTTTCCCCCACATACTTCCAGAAATGTCTTCTTTTAACATAAGCTGAAGAGACTCACATACAAATTTAATTATGTCCTGCCCCCATGGGAAACCACCCAGAGACCTAGCCTGCTCTCATAGCCACAGGTGATGTCATGATGCCGTTGTTCCTTCATTGCAGATCTTCAGGATGTACCCGTCTTAGACATTCTGCCACCTTAGGACCAGATGGTAAATTTCATCTTCAGCCCAACCTCCTCCCCTAAAGTACAATGACAAGAGGGTAGGGAAAAAGACAAGAAAACTTTGTTTCTAAATTATTAAATATAACTCCCATTTTAAAAGGAAAAATGATAGTGTTACAGGAATGCTGGAATTACTTGCTTCTTAGCAGCACAGAAAACGCAGATGGAGGTATTTCCCTTGTTTCTGCAGTAACCTTGAGGCAACGGTATTTGTGACTCCTCTTCCCCACCGCCCATGCCACGCTCCCCCGGCTTTTGATCAGCACCCTGGCTGCTACGTAGTTTAGCAAATCCTATTTCCTAGCTGTTCTCTTTGTTTGTAAACTAGTGCAAGTGGTTTAGTTTTATAATTTTCTTTGTGAAAAAAAAAGTCTTCAAACACTGAGCATCAATTCAGATTACAATTTTTATTTACCAGTTGGATTGACAATTACATTTGAAGTCCACTCAAATGAATGTACTGAAGAAATGAACTCCCAAAAATATTTTGTGTGTGGGTAGCAAGAGTTAAAAGACAGCTTATTGTTCTTTACAAGTAAGTGACCCTCATCAGCTTTTAAAATGGAAAAGGGCACCAAGAGTCTGTCAAAGAAAGCTGCCCATGTGCAGACAGAAAAACCTGACCTATGCTGGGAGCACAGCAGAACATGCGCAGTTTCCAAAATCATCATCACTCCTCCGAAGGGAGGGTAATATTCCCAATAAGTAAGTAAAATAGATCATTCTTCCTTCAATAAAGGATTCATTTAACCATAATCATCAGTTAGCTAGTTGGCCGGAGAGAAGCTTATCTTAACAGAACAAATGAAAAATGCTATGAGGACAAATCAGAAAAAGATAATGGATCTTTAAACTGATTTTAAAAGAGCAAAATGTGATTTCCAGAATAAGCACGTTTGGGGCATTAGAGCATCTTTGCCTTCTCTGGCCACTCTAAGCAATTTCACTCTGACCAGCCAACCTCAAATGCACGTGTGAGGACAACTGTGAGGAACATTATTTTCCAAAAGGAGAAAACACTTCTGACTCAGCAGCTGGTCAATTCTAGGAAGGAGAAAACTCACTGAGTTGGGGGAAAAAAGCTTTACTGTGAAACATATAATAAGGATGATTTCAACTAAAGTTGGAATCTCATTTTCAAGTAGCAACTAATTTATTCACACAAAAGTGAAGAATAAAGTCGATTTGAATTCTGAGAGGAGTCACTTTCTGTGGAGAAATGGCGTTCGTGTAACATAATTTCCATTTGGATCCACAAAATCTAAGGTTAAACTCTTCTGAGGACAGAACAGTTGTATAAATTTTGCCTCATGACAAGAGAACGATTTTTTGGTCAGAACCATTTGTTCAATAGATGTGTCCAGTCTTCCCAACAGCATGGCAGGTAGTGCGCGAGCTGGAAAAGTCCAACCAAGACCGAAGGATGGCCAGGTTTGACAAAGCAAGGCGTGACTTCATCAATAGCGGTGGCTAGATTTATGCGAAGTGGCTTTAAGAAGCATGTCCTCCCCCACCATCACTCACTCACACACACACCCCCCTAGGAGGTTCAAGTTGTTATTTTAATGTGAATGCTTTGCTCTTGGGTATGCTAACATGCCAACAAAATTTTATTTCACAGGATCCGGACATTATTTGCTGAGGTTTCAATTTATGATCTACTATGTTTCAAGGTTCATTTACATTGCTTGATATAAAGAATTAAAATCTACAATGCCAAGGGGAACTAGAAAGCATTCTCCTTTTTCAGGGACTAGGGCATGGTAAGCATGAATACGAGGCCTTGTTCTGAGATGATGCTCAGTCAGGTATCAGTTAGCAAGTGGTGGTGGTTACACATCATCAGTGATCCTTTTAAGCCAACTTGTGGTGAGTATTTACCATGCGACAGACACCATGCCCAGTGCTTTACAGGTATTACCTTATTTCTTTCTCTCAACAACTCTTTACACTGGATGAGAAAATCGAGGGTTAGAGATGCCAAAGTCACACAGCTACTAGTAAGTGATGGAGATCAGAGCTCCTGCTCTCGTAACTGTACTTTGCTTACATGCTCTCTGAGGTCATTAACCTCTTTCTAGAGGTTAAACGTTATGTCTGCTTTGCTATCCATTTGTAAGGCCTTTCTTGTACAGCTGAAGTAATCTGAATGGCAAAACTGATACTTCAGATACCATCTGGTTACATCAAAATTATGTTAACTTTGAGGACACAGCAGCTGCCTTAAATCGAGAACATCAGGGTGTTGGTAGTAAAAACACCATCGCTGCCACCACCACGAACCCCACCATCATTAACGGCAGCTCCCACTGCCCAAGCATCATTTACGTGGCAGAACCATGGCTATGTATTTTACATACATAATCCCTAAACTTTACAATAAGCCAAGAAAATACAGAGTATCATCCTCATTTTACAGCTACAGATAGTTAAGCTCTGACAGGTTATGAAAAAATATCTGGATTCTAGATCTTTTCAAAGGATTTAGTATAAAGTTCATTCTTATAAGTAGGTGGACCTCCAGAAGCCATGTTAAAAATAAATTTTAAAAATCAAGATCAGCATCTGATCTATAGTTGGCACCTCTGCAGCAACTTGGGAAGACTCATGTGAGATCCCACACACTGCAGCAAGCTATTGTGTTAGACATCTAAACTGCGCCAACACAAAATCCCTCTCACCCATTATTGTGTCATTTTCTAATCTTGATTGCATGATGGCGTCAATCAAAAATGCCTCTGAAATGGGGACTTAACCTTTGCAATATAAAAACTTCCACAGAATCTTAGCATCTCCAGGTTGGTGATACCTTTCAGGTCATTTCAGCTGATCCACTTCCCTTCTCCCATTGTGTGGCTTGGTTTTCTTCTCTAAATGTTGCTTATGGGGAGAGAGAACTGAGATAATTCATAATCAAAGCACAGATATCTTGAGATCAAATAATTTGTGTTCAACTGTTAGAAAATGTAGAGAGTTGTCCACATCAGTGTTTGGCTATATGGAGAACAAACCACACGTGCATGGGACCAGTCAACACCTGACTGAACACCAGATGTCAAATTATGTAATGTAGCTGTGCGCCATAAAAAGTCATTCAGAATAACAATTTTTAACACTTTATTTTTATATAATTTTATACTTACAGAAAAACTGTAAGGAAAGTTCAGAGAACTCTTATTTACTCTTTACTCAGATTTACCGATTTTACTATTTTGCTCCATTTGCTTTATTATTAATTCTTTTTTCCCGAAACATCGGAAAGCACTTTTTTCACATTTTGTCCCTTTATCCACAAGTGTTTCAGTGTTTATTTTCTAAGAACAAGGGGTTTCCAGGCAATGCAATTTTTGATCAAAATATAAAGTTAACATAAAAATCATGAGAATAAATTTAAAAATGTTAACTATACAGAAAAATACTTTGCCTTCATAGATGACACTATGAAAAATACTTTGCTTCCGTTCCTCGCAAGAGAGGAATTTTTTGGTCTATTTTGCTTACTGGGATATTCCTAGACCTTGCCATAGTGCTTGGCACATAGCAGGTACTTAATAAACACCTGTTAAATTAATTTGTTAGTGTGATTATGTCATACTATACCGACTACACTTATGAACAAAGTATGTCTAAAATCAAGCAAAGGCAATGACAGCAAAATATCGAGTCATTCCTTTCTTACCTATCATTTGGAATTTGGGAGTTACAAAGAGGGAGTAGCTGCCGATGCAAAGGACTTTTGGCAAATGACTTTTTAAGATGGGACAAAACAGATTCTAACCTAATGAAACGTGACCTTCTTGGTTCCCCCAGGGCCACCACGTGAATCTGTGCTCTTCTCACAGGTAGCGGTTCCTGATGTACTCGCGGTACATGGAGGTGTCCTCTTTTCCCAGGGGCTGCATGATACCTTGACTGGCCTGGATGTGCGCTTGGAAGATCTCTGTAGATTTCCTGTCCACTCTTGGGGGCTGAACCTCATAAATATTGTCTTGCGAGAAAGCCGAGATGGGTGTTCTACAAAAGATGAAAGAAGAGGGCTGCGTTAATGAAAACGAAGGAAGGGGCACGAGGAGCTGCGGTCTCAGAAGTATTTGAGAGCCGCTAGCCTAGAGAAGGTCCGCTATTAACAAGCGGCTGGAAGACCTCCCCAGTGCCCCCATGGTGGCGCCCTCCTCCACCTGCAGGACGGAGCTGGGCCAGCGCCTGCCTGGGAGGCCTCTGCGTCCCCACAGCCCCGAGCACCCTCCTCTGTGCTCCTATCTGTCTCCCTCATGTGACCGTGAGCAACCTGAGGTGGGGGCTGTACAGACTTTGCTCCCTTTCCTTGGCACATGGTAGGCACTCAAAGGCTTTCAAAGGCACACTTAGTAGAAATCAGTGAAGGAGGGGATTACTAATAATTCCTACCACATGGTTGTTGAGAGGAGTAAATGAGTTCACGTGTAAAGAGCTCACTTAGCATAGTGCCTGTGCACTCAAAGTGCTCAGCAAATGGGAGCTATTGTTAACAATGACAGGTGCACAATTCCTTATCTGCAATTCTGAAATCCTAAAAGCCTTAACAACTAAAAGTTACTTTCCCAGCAAAATCTGACCCAGCTGAAACTCATTTTGTGGCACATCCTAATGAATAACAATCATCCCACTTCATGTGAATCTTAGTGTGTCTAACTATTGTTCGTGGCCTCAGATCATGCTGGGGATGTTATTCTAAGATGTATGTGCCCTCTTCTTATGCTAACAGCCAGTTCTGACTTCCCTAACTCATCTGGCCTCAGGCTTTTGGATGAGGGATTGTAGACCTGTAATAGGCAGCTTCCTTCCTTTCTAGAGTGATTTGAAAAGCACCTAAGAATCTCTCTATTCAAAAATATCCCTCTATTCCCACTCCACTCAGTCTGCCATAGTCTTGAAATTTCCATCCATTCCTGGGAGAGGCACTGACTCTAGAAAGGCCTTGTCAACATGCAGCTTTGTGTCTGACATCCTTGCGGGGGGGTAGGCCCTCAAGGGATGAATCAACTGACAAGTCAGGTGTGACGCAGAGTGTCTGCAAAATGTGCATGCCCACGCACGTGCAGGCCCAGGAAGGTCAAGAAGAGGCCACTGATGCGGAGGATGGTAAACTAACAAAATATGGCGAGGCGCTGGGTACACAATGACAACACACTCTGCCACTGGCTCAGGGCTGGCCCTGTGAGGTGGCGGTGCTTTTCCACAACAGGCACCCAAGATAACGCAGAGAAAGAAAAACTGGAGAATCTACTCTGCTGGGCTGGGACCTCAGCCTTGCTCATGGGCATCTTGTCAGAGGAATCAGAAAGGCATCCTGGATTCTCAGCTGTCTGATTAGCTGGGATCCCTGGAGCTGGGGGAGATTCCCTGCAGTTAGAAGCAGAATTGGATCTCAGACTCAGCTGGGTCTGTACTTGCGATGTCAACATTCCACTGGACACCAGGAGGTGCAGGGCACACAAGACAGAAGTCGTGCAGTAAATCCTCCCCAAAGGGGCTCTATCTTCAATTAAATATGGGTCTTTCTTACTCTCCCAGAAAACAGTCAAGGTGGCTCACTATACTTTGCCTTCATCTAGAACACTGACACGTCCTGAGATGGCTGGAGACTCTACATTAAATTGCATTAAAATAATACAGAACTAGAGGTGAGCAGGTGAGCCGTTTGGCCTGTCTGTAGATAAGGCCCTTCAAAGGCTCAGCAATAAGGAATCTCAGCTCCTTATAGGAGACTAGGTCTGTAAAGATTTTGATAGGAGAGGGGGAGGTGACATTTTAGTTATGGAGAGAGCATGAGGACAGAAAAACCCATTTTGTATGTGCTTCTCAAACACTTCTGTCTTCATCCTAGCAGGAAGCCATGTCAATGAGAGACCAACAAGAAGGGCACCACAAAAGGGTCTGGCAAAAGTTGAGGATTTTATACCTAAGCCTAAGCAACATCAATGACGTGGAAAAACTATTTATAGCACTAAGTATGCAATGACCTTACTAGATCTCAAAGAAATTTATGCATTTGTAAGGTTGCTAAACTCTTTTGTAGACTCATTTGTCATCAGATCCACTAGATAAAAAAAACCAGTGTCTATGTATGTACACACACATACATGCTTTGTACATAGATATGATATTTATATAAAATATTTATGCTTTATATCCACAAATATATATATATTCTTTAAACACAATGCTGAGGAAAGGGCTATATATATATATTTCAACCATCCCCACAAGTGATGTCAATGAGTTCATGTGAAGTTCTACAATATCCATTCTATTATGCAGATTTTAGAAAAGTATAGTTGATGAGCATATGAGATTGTGAATCCAATAAATCTAGATAACATAACATTTACTATTACTTAGAGTTAGAACATTTTGCCCTTAAAATGTGACTGCTTTTATTTTATACTGTTATATAGAAAAAAATCAATGCAATACATAAAAGAGCCTTAGAGGCTGTGACATGGTTGTTACAGTTTTCAGTTTAAATGCCATTATATCACTGTCATATGTGTATATTAATTAAATATAAAAAACTCATAACACTTATCCAATATTTATCATGGAAAAACTACTATGCTTCAGAACTATCAATGCTTTTCACCTTTTTATTGTAAAATAAAACACAGATACAAGAAACTACACAAAACAAACACATAGAATTATTGTAAGGTAAACATCATGCAGAACAAGAAGCACAAATTCTGACAGCCAACCCAGAAACCCCTTCCAGGTGCCTCATCCCAAACACAACCCCCTCTCTCCTCTGATAAGTAGCCATTATCCTGACTTCTATAGTAATCCCTTCTTTGCATTGCTAAAAAAAGATGTTTTCATTCAAATGTGCATCCCTAGATTCTATAGTCTTGCCCACTTAAAAAGTGTGATATGCCTGGATAGCATGGATAGTACCAAATCCTATATACACTATGTTTTTTTCTATACATACATAAAGTTCAATTTAATCTACAGACTCTCTTTCCTTTCCTTACAATTTGCCTATTGCAGAATCTGGGTTGTAGAGTTACCCTGAGTCTGGATTTTGCTGCCCGCATATTCAAGATGCAGTTAAAAATGTTCCTCTGCCCTTTATGGTTCCTGCAGGTCAGCAGTTGGATCCAGGGGCTTGGTGAGACCCTGCTTCAACTGCTTTGGCAAGACCACAGGTGAGTGTGTTGTTTCACCAGGAGGGCCAGCGCGTCTGGCTGTTTGTCTTTCTCGATGGGAACAGCCACTGAGGCCCAATGCCCAGATCCAGTAATTCACTGGGACCGTCCAGTGATAATTTGACACTTTGTCTTAAATCCTTATGTCTGTCTGTATTCTTTTTGAATTTTGAAGTTTTTCATTTTAGTTCATTTTGTAATAGTGTGTTTCAGTTTTGACCTCTTTCATTGACTTTTCTGGCATGCTTTCATCATCTGTAGGGATGTTATTCTGCTTTGTTCTTTATAATGTTACACGGGATCGGCCTTTAATACTTTTCTGTTGTTCGTTATGCAAAATTAGTTTTCCAGAACCTTTGGAAGGAGAAGTGGTTCAGGAAACTCCCTCTTTGGTTGTTTAGTCAGGTGTTCAGAACCATGGCAGGTTGCTTTCTGAGATTTCTTCTCTGTTCCCTTTCCCCACTTCTATCTGAACTTGCCTTCATCGCCATTACTACTATCGTGCTCAATTTTGGCTCCACTTTCAGGAATTTCTCCTTACACGACTCCCCTATCCACAAAGGGAGCTCTGGCCATTTGGTTTCAAGAGTTCACATAGCCCAGACGGCTTCAGCCCCTGTGGGAACTCACCAGGAGCTCCTCGTGCTCCCTGGTTGAATTGAGTGAAACACCTCCCAGTTTCAGCTGCTGTGCTCACATCAGCCCACTGTGATTTCTAGTGACCACCTGTTAGCTGTCTGAACTTCTCCTGTTCTCATGCCCGTCAGACGCCCCACTGTTTCCTCCCCGCTTCTTCCTTTTGCACAAACACTGAAATGCAGGTCTTATGGCTGTTGGTGGTTTAGCTCCACCACCTGCTAATATTTCGGGGTTTGTGGGGATACCTTATTATAGAGTTCGAGGTAAGCATTGCCTATGGGTATGTGGTTTTGCTACCTAGTTATTCTCTCTGTTTTTGTGTGAGGATTCAGAGAGATTTAAAAAACGCTGCTGCTCCTATCTTCTTCCAGAACTGCTGGGTATATCTACTTCTAAAAGTAGACTTTGCACCCATCTCCAAAACTGAGCCCTAAATTTGATATATTGTCACCTGCGTGGCTCCATTTTCCTTGTCCCTGAGGGTGGCACTGCCACTCCGCCTCTCCTTACCCAGGGCTGCTCTCAGAGACGCTCTTTCCGAGCTCCCCTCCCACTCCTGCTCCCCTCTCAGACAGCTGATGTGGCAGCTATCCTGGCGATGAGAAATCTGGCAGGGGTGAGGTGGTAGAGCTCGTAATCTTGCCATTTATCTGCATGTGGCTAATCAGGTATTGCCTATAGAGCAGAGAAAGTACAAGTAAAGTTAGAGAAACTTAAACGACTGCATCAGCTATCCTTTTATCGTAGCTCATAGAAGATGGTTGGATTTGGGCCTCGTGCTTCATGCACCAGGGAATCCTTTTGGATGTCTACCTAAGGACCTTGCCCCGTTACCTGAGCAGGGTGCCTTCCCCATTCTTGCCTAGTGGGAATGGATCAGTGCTCAGGATAAACAGCAGTTAGACGTTTCCCATACTCTTCCTTTCTGAGTGACAGTTTTTACTTTCCTTTGCTGCCATTGCATATTGGGAGCAGATAGGCAGTCTTTTTATAGGTCACTATGTTACAAGAAGCTGCATCTGAACCTGATGACAAGAGCTGCACATACTCCAAGATCCTGGACTTTGAGTGGGATGCAGTAACTTACGGAGGAGGGAATGGGTCCACCTATAGTAAGAAGAGTATGCCTGGAGAGCTGGGTAGCTAGAGGGCAGACTGCGACACATAGTGCAGATTAGATTTCTCAGTACC